GGGCGGGATGCACTTGCAGAATCCGGTTAGTGGTCTACTCATTTTTTTGCCCGCTTTGGCAAAGCAACAGCCAGTGAGGGGCTTGATACAGACAATTTAGTCCTTGTTGATCATAGGTTTAACTGTGAGATTTACAATGAAAACAGCAAAAATGGCACTGCTTAAATGTTTTTAATGAATGAGTACTTCTAACTATGGACTTTTTTGTGAAATTATAATCTTTCATCATTCATAAAAGTAATGAAGTAGGATAAATCTGCCTCTACAGAATTCTACTCGCGTACTTTCAATTTTTGGTTATTTGATAACGGTTGTTTTAAAATAGCTTTTATTTCACCGACAGAGCATTTTAAGGAAATTAATCGGCTTGTTTATCCTTAAATAAGTCACTAAAGATAGTAATTTTTTGTCTATCAATTTTGTGTAAACAGTTCCTATCGTATGAGGGCTGAATACCGATCTTGCAACACACTTTCATATGTTCCCTCCGTATTTTCTAGTTGTGAATCAACCGCGAGCCTGCACAGGTGAAACAGATCAAAAGGAAACTTCTGGTACACATCAACTATACAGCTTTCTTATCGTTGCTATTCGATGCTAAAACTTTTATTTTTTATTTTTCCAGCCCATTTTCCTCTTTTTAGGCGAGAAGATAATTGTCCAATTTTAGTTCGCATCTTCTACTCCACAAATGGTCGGCTTCATACCTTAGCTACATTTACAAAGGGTAACCTCCCTGAGAATGAGATTCAAATGAATACGTGGTAGGTTTTGTTAATCTTCGCCTTTTTAAGTTCTTAGATTTATTTATCCTTTTAAACTGCTCATTTACTTGGACTTAATTGGTACTATAAATGGTCTGACTCCGTTTTCGCAACTTGATTGTGTCGTCAGGACTACTTCGTTGAACACACTTGCTCCAAGTCATCTGCTATAGTAGCTATTGATTATTCCAAGCATTGGACCGCGGACTTGATGCAGTAACACTTCACTTGACGCCAAATTTCAGTTGTATTTAGGTATTCACAACCTCAATGCCTCATCCATACGTGCTTAAAATTAAATGGCTTTCATGAAAGTGTTATTCATAGCTTCTTACAAGGCAACATAAGTGAACCACATTGCAGAGATGATAAATCCTTAGTATTGTATGCTTTGATTATTTTTATCCTTTTGAATTTATCTTAGAATTTAACGCATTTTAGATGTTGCCAAAGTAATTCATATACTTGGTCTATTGAGCTCTTGTTTATTAGTATTTATAGAAACATATCTCTTTTGTTTCGTTTTAATGGAATGCCTCATGTCTATCTCTACTATTTAATCGCAAGCAATAACGTGAGTTAAATTTGTCGTATCTGCCTTGGTCGCTAAGGCATTACCTTTCGAATAGGGTTAATAGGATTCTTCACCAACTCCCTATTCATAAGTTAAGATAAATTTATAATATGTAGGGGAATATGCTATTAAAGTCCATATGAATTAACTCAATACTTTGGCTGGATCTGGCCAGGACTCTCATTCCGGAAAGTTTTTAAAAAAAACCCAGATTTTTGCCTACATGAAATACCAAAGGACCAAAACACAGGAATTGGAGGAATATAATTATTGGTAAGGTCTGATCTACAATCTATGTATAGAACCAGTCCTATTAAAATGTACTAATATCCTTTTGGAGATCTTGGACCGATAAGAGGATATCTTGGAAGCAGATAGTATCGAAAGGGAGTCGTTAACACGACTAATTAATTTGAAATTAAGGACGTCCTTATTCACATTAATCGGCGACATCTATGAACAAATATTTGGATTTCCTATGGGATCGACGCTCTCATCTCCTTTGGCAAATATATACGTGAACAAATTCAAAGAAGCTTTTAAGACTTCACCGTTGTAACGAAAGCTGCTTGTGCAATACTCCAATGACCACTTCGCACACCTAACTTTTTACGTGGAAATTTATAGCGAGATCAGAAATAATGGAACACATTGCACGTACTGGGCACGAGCTAAATTTGAAGATAACAAAAAGAATGGTATGCTACATAGGATTCAAGAAAACGGAAGATTGGGAATGCCATTGAAGTAATTACTAAGAGGGATCTAATGAACAGGAGACTGGCAGAAAACAGTGCTGACGTTAACTATGCCTCTTTTTTAAACGGACATGGATACGGCTCGAGGAAACTACTCTAGCCTTGGGGCCATGACGGTCACAGGAATTCGGCATTGTGGCTGGTAAATCGTAGCCAATTTGACTAGGGATCCATTTGTGCTGCTACAAGAGCACAGATATAGACTTTTATAATTTGCTTAGGATGCACTGGTTGAATCATATAAATGGACTGTGGAAATAATGTCTAATGTGTGCAGGCTTGGAAATCATGGCCTATGCGCTCTGCTTGGTGAAGCTAAAGTTATATGTGCTACCATGATCTTGATAAATAGCACCGTGAGTAAAACGTATGTTGTTATATGAGATGTATTCACTTCATTTCATTTAAGCCGATGAAGTATTTTTGCTATGACAATCGACTACATTACTTATTTTTTGTGCATAAGCAGAGTTTTGAGACTACCAGCAAATCAGTTATATTACCAGTCCTTCATCGCCTTAAGCGAAATAGGGTAAATACATCTCATATAACTGATTTATTGGTAGTCTCGAAACTGCTTATGTACGAAAAAGTATATTGTGACTGAAACCAAGTTTGAATTGGCCAACGAATAAAATAAGAAGCGGATGTCCGGGACAATGAGGTTGCTTCGAATGAGAGGTCCAAGTCGGATCAGAAATTACGGCAAATCGCAAGAGGGGGCAAAGTAAACAAGATGTGATAACGTCCCACTAAACTCCAAAAAGCGTATGCCTTTAGAGTGGATAAATATAAACAGCTCAGAAGTTGTCATAGTAAGGGAGTGAGATACGAGGATGGGGTATGTAGAGGAATCTGGTAACGCAACCGTTCGGCAGAAAGCTGTTTGAGTGATTGGTGTCACTTCTTTTTGACAAGTTGTAGCTTGGCTTTACGAGTGGCAGAACTCATTAATGATGGGGACTACAATGCCGGCTAAACGTCTGTGAATGTACCAAGTCTACGGTCCGACGCCGGTAACTATCATTACTACTAAGACAGAGAACTTTGAACAAAGTGCGACCAGTTAGGTCGCTCGGACAACACGATCAAGTTGAGAAAGCGACTTATATATACGAATAAAAGATCAACGGACACAGCATTATCTACGTTATCTGGAGTCTTTTTCTACAACAAAGCTGCTGAAACTGAAGTGGAGTGTGTATACAAGGGAATGAGATCGTAACCACAAAATGTTAAAATAATCTTGGTTTTATTTTTCCCTTGTGATCGATATACTACCGGTAGATCATATATATGAGATATATTCACCCTATTCCATTTAAGGTGATAAGGGGACTGGTAGTTGAATTTTCCCACAATGCTATGAGTGGACATGACACTTCCATTGAATCTGTTTTCCTAAAAGCCATTTTCTTCTAGAGTGGACTGCAATTTCGACCTCTCCTATGTCTTATTATCACCCCCAGCGGAACTCGAACAATAACGTGTTGAGATCATACGCTGTGCTGTAATGGTTCGAGTCCCTGTATGAGAATAACATTTTTGAAAAGTAAGGCTATGTGAAATTCAATGGAAACGTCATTATACTCGTATCATTGTAGGAAAATTCAACCACCAGCTCCTTTATCACTAAACGAAATAGGATGAATGCATCTCATATATCTTTGCTTTGTTCGCTTTCTTTCCTTTTCCTTGACATATGGCTATGGGTCCTGATGAAAATTTTCACCGTCGGGAATGGGCCACATACATTACATGAGCTTTTATTTAGCAAGAAAACTTAGAGTTAGTTCATAGTTTGTGTGTCGTTTCGACTATTCAACCGACAAATCAGAATAGCTATTTGTTCTGATCCTATTAGAATTGCTGGAGATACGTGTAAGAGCAGCCTAATTTTCTCACTGCTGCGGGGTAGCACTTTTGATATACTACTCATAAAAAATTTCATTTTATTAAAAGCGTTTTTCTTTTCACATTATTTGCTCAAAATTCAGCCATGCTTTAATATTCTCTCGTCAACTTATCTGTCAGTCTTGGCTCTTGACTTACTTATTTCGGAAGCGGATTAAATAGCATTTTTGTTCAGAGAATCCAAGAACTTAACAATTTTATATGAGCTGTCTGATTTCTAAATAGCACTATCACATCTGAATTAACTAGATATAAGTTTCGATAAAAAATCCAATGAATAAGTGATTTGAATGGAATATTATTTTGTTGTCAAATGGGCCGAGTTCTTAAGTCCTTGAATCCAAAACTTTTACACATTTTAATTTCACGGATAAGGCGTTTATTCTGGCCCGCTTATTATTCACAAAATTTGGCTTTTTCTACTTTTATCCATGCTAGGCTTGACGCTACTTTGTATGAGCTGGCACAGGAGCTTCGTGAACATTGTCCACTAGCCCGACGGCGTGGTGCTCGTCTCGTCTTCACCAGTGTTTCTCCCGATGAGCGTAGCACCATGGGTGCCTATAAACGCCGCCAACTAGGTCTTGTGATAACGGGCAGTGGACCTGTTGTAATTAAAAGCAACGGCGAGACTGATGGTACTGCAAATGAACGTCCGCTCGATGAGCCATTTGGGTCAATCAATGGCAGTGCCTTAGCCACCACAGCCGGCGAGCATGAGGTAGCCACGAAGCTCTCCAAACTGGAAGAAAAGGCTCTGCCAGCAGATGCTGGACTCAGAGACTGGAAGCCACCTCTAGACGACGCTGGTGTCACCTTGCTTGGGAAAGGCTTTCAGGTTGTCCTATTTATGTGCTTTGTTACCACCTATATCACTTAATGTGGAATTCTTTCGGTAATCTTATTCAATTCACTTAGTTTAATTAAATTAATAAAATATTTTCAGGCATGATGGCTTTCACTTCAAATCGGTTTTCTGACTTTCACTTACCTTACTCTCAGAAATTACATCGAATTATTTATGCTATGATA